AAATAAATAAAATAGTTTCAGTCACCTCGTAGGACGGGCTCAGACTAACTTAGATTTTTTTTTTTTTATATTTAAAATGGGATTTATGCTAAATATTTATGAATCACATATTCAGTTTATTTGTAGTGTACAATTTGATGTGTAAAATGTAAAATATATCTAAAGCCATTTTTGGGGGGGTAGAGTAGGTAAAGGATAAACCCCATCAGATTCAATGTCCAAGTTTATTCCAAAGACAGTTTACAAATCCAATGCATTTTGGAGACTGTAGCTCCACCCCTCATCAGGGCTTAAAGAAAATGACACAATGAAAATGGCAGATTCAGTAGTAAAAAAGTTATTGGATATAGATGGTGCGCCCCAAATGTTGGGTACTAGCGGCACACAGAGCCATCCACACTCATTCAGGCAGGATTGCTATTGTGGGTGTTTCTGCAATAATCTAGAATCAGTGATGTCATTGCTGTACAGCGTCTATTTTCTTTCTTCCAGTAAAAAAGTATTGTTATGGCAGTGTTGTGTAGGTTTTGCAGAGTCCGTCAGCAGCTCATTCTAGCAATTTGCTGTCTTTCGTCCTAATCCATCAAAGAATATGTTTATATATGATTTATCTGTATCACTACCCTTGTAAAGGCCATTGTATTTGATTGGGTCCCCCTAAGCTTTGCACGGCCAAGCAACACTCATTTTTCCAAACTTTCCGAGTCAGTAAAACAGTCCTTGAACTGGCTTTTAGTTGTTTTTATTAAGAGGTTAACAACTTGGATGGGGTCTAGAGGAATATGGGATGCCCAAGGAACTGTAGAACTTGAAGACGAACTTCTTAGCAACTATGTACAAAATAGGTGGACTAGCCAAAAATATAGTACTGTCCCTTTTTTGGTGTACCTCCTCAGACCCCCGATGAATCCAGCTCTTCACTCAGCTGTGCGGAGGGTATCCCGAAGTAAGGGGGGTCCCAAGAGCTTTCCGTTAAGCAGTCCTAGGTCAAGACTAGTTGGGTATTGCACCTGACCATGCTCTCCCCTTATCCGGCCCAAGGGGTGTAGGAATATTCACACCATCCTCGCCTGCTAGTGTGGTGGGTTGGTGGCTGCCTTCAGGCCGTGTGCTGGGCTGGCTCCTTCCCTGCTAACAGGTTGTCCTCCCAAGGAGATGTTGAGGCAATAGAGATCCAGCATCCTGCCTAGGGCCCCCTACCAGGCTCCATACTCCAGCCTTCTCTCAATCCATATTTCACTCAACTCGCACCTCTCTCCAGGCTCTGTCATATTTGAGAGTTGCCCTGGTCACCATGCCCAGCCTCCTGCCAGAGGATTGGCCAAGATCCCTCAAACATGCAGATCTTGGCCTCCTCCCCTGTTCCAGAAAGTTCTCTAGTTTCTGAAAGGGTGGGAGGGCTCCGGAAGCCCTGACCTGTAGAACCTCCCAACCTGTACTGAGGTAAACTCCTGCCTCACTCCCAGGCTGACTCATCCCAGCCTCTATCTAAAGAAAACAACAAAACCTAGCTAAGCTGGAGACTGTTACATAGCTATGTACACTGTATAGCCAAATGTGTGTGGACACCTGACCATCACACCTATGTGAACTTGTTGGGCATCCCAACATCTCATTTCAAAATGATGGGCAATAATATAGAACTGCAATCACCCTATGCTCCCCATGTCTCTAAAGCAGTCTCCATCCTTCTGGACAGACCATCCACAACACTACTTTACCATTTTATTTGTGAGTTCAGGGCTCTGTGCAAGCCACTTGACGTCCGACACACCAAACTCATCAAACCATGTCTTTATGGAGTTGGCTTTGTGCACAGGGTCACAGTCATGCAGGAGCAGTAAAGGGTCTTCCTTCAAATGTTGCCACAAGGTTGGAAATGCTATACCATTAACAATACCTTCACTGGAACTAAAGGAACTCAATCAGTAGAAGGGGGTGCCACATTTTTCCATATAGTGCACTTGCTGTGCTAAATGGTTCTTTGAAAGATAATATTATGTTTGTGTAGCACCCTCCTCGTTAGGTGCTAGGCTGTTAGGTAAATTTAGTTCTTTTTTAGCTCCTCTGTAATCAGTGGAGCTGTTTCTGATTGCTTTGGACTGATAAGGGAGGAGTGCCCAATAGGTGATTGCAGATCACATTATTAGTGTGGGGCTGGGGCAGTCTGGGTTCTTGTCCAGGAGGAGAAGCTCCCAGCCTGGAGGGTTGCCACCATCTCAGGCATCCCAGCACCTCTATCAAGAGCTCAATGAGGTCCCAGTTATGCTAAAGTTTTTGGGGCCTACTTACTGAGATACTTGAAACTAAAGAAGGGGTATTCCACTCAGGATCCATTCTGAAATGTCCACTGTGGAAGTGTCTGTCTGACTCCAAGGGAGGCATCCAATTACCCATGGACTTGGTGAGTACAGCTCTGAAGGTAGGATTTGGGTGACTGTTGCTGCTGTTAACCCCCTGATGCAGTGGCATCCTGAGGCAGGTGTGGGGGGTGCGGTCCGCACCAGGTGACACCGACCGCAAAGGGTGACACCGGACCCGCTCCACAAAAAGGTAAGTTGTAAAGCAAGCCGACGATGCCTGCAGGATGGACCTTCCACAATATTTTGCCAAAGAAGCATTTGTGAGTTCAGGGCTCTGTGCAAGCCACTTGACTTCCTCCACACCAAACTCATCAAACCATGTCTTTATGGAGTTGGCTTTGTGCATAGGGTCACAGTCATGCAGGAGCAGTAAAGGGAGCAAGCCAATGATCCCTGCAGGATGGATCCGATCCATCCTGCGGGGATCGTCGACTTTCTTTACCACTTACCTTTTCTTGGAGCGTGTCCGGTGTCACCCCGTATAGGTTGCATGCCGACAATCCTGCAGGGATCGTCGGCATGCAACCTACAAGGGGTGACACCGAATCTTGCACACCGGACCCGCTCCAAGAAAAGGTAGGTTGTAAAGAAAGCCGACGATCCCGCAGGATGAATCGGATCTGCGGATTGAGCATAATGGATCGGAGTCCATTCTGCGGGGATCGTCGGAGGGGTTGTCACCAAGTGTTACCGCACCGGGTGACACCAACCCTAGGGACGCCTCTGCCCTGATGCACTAAGACTAAGGCTTGCCTAGCCTGGAACATTGCTTATGGTGTCCTAGTGCTGTCCAATCCAAGAGCTATTGCTAAAGGGACTTTTCTAAGGAGTAGTTGCAGAAGAAAAGGTGTCCCTATCTACGTTATCCAGCAATAAACTTTAAAAAGGCAACCCCTAGACTGTTCATTGAGTCAGAAGTGTGGATGCTGCTGTGTTCCTGGCTGCCATTACACTGGTGGAAAAGAGAACCTGGGACAAGAGAGTGGGACCAGCAAAAGGGTCTGTGCTACATTCATATAGTTTGAAGCAGGGGCGGACTGACAACTCATGGGGCCCCCCGGGCAATAGGGGATCATGGGGCCCCTGTGTCCTTGCCTAGACTAAAAAAAAGCCTGTGAAAAAGGTACCAGGGGCATCTCATGAGGCCCCCTACTGACCCCGGGCCTTCGGGCAGTGCCCGAGTTTCCAAATGGTCAGTCCGCCCCTGTTCTGAAGACATCTGAATACTGACATTCCCTCGCTGACTACTCAAACGTGAATTGGAATTTGGTGTCAGGCGTGTCTTCATCCGTAATGCGGAAAATTAATTAGTAACAGAGATGTGGTGGCTGATGGATTAGTGAGGGTCCCTCACAATCCACCAATACTCTTCATCAACTGTTAAGCTACGAGTGTGATGATGGTCACCGCGCTGACATTGGTGGCCTCTGCTAATCACCATTCATCCTCCATGTCAAATGGAAAGCAGAGACTGTGCGGGCCTCTTTGTCTACCTGGCACTGCAGGCTCCCACGTGCACAGGGAGTGATGGATGGCTTTTCCTGTGATATGGTGAATCGGTCATACAAGAGCCCTCTCCCTTCCTGCAGACTTCTCCATGAACGTGCTTCTGTAATGGAATCTTGCAGACTGCAATAGGTGATAAATGGACCACCACAGTGCTGGAAAATATTCTCTGCAGTCTAGGTTCTCTTCTCTTTTTTTTTTTTTTGGGTCTGAAATATCAGTAAACTTTTTTTCTAAGACTGCGATATGGTGTGTTTACTATTTCAACACATTTAGGTTTTACAAAACCTTACTTCAGATCGAAGCTGTTAGCTGTATTTCTACCCATAATAATGCAAACATGTCAATGCAGATTGCTGGTACCATTTACAATAGCCATTCTCAACCAGGGTTCCTCAAGATCTTGCTAGGGGTTCTTTGAGCAGTGCTTGATTGACCTCCCATTTCATGGTGCCTTGGCAAAGCCAGCAGCATGGCACCAATCATCTTTTTAAATGTCTGTAAAGGTAACATTCTGGCCACCTTTATAGGGGGCATTTTTGCCAATGAACCTTAATAAATTGGTTTTTATTAAGGTTTCCATGAGATCTGAACATTTTTTTAGGGGTATTGCTGGAGTACAAAGGTTGAGAAAGGCTGGTCTATGTAACCTGTGTTAGTTTTGCCTGCTGAAGCACCCCCAAATGATAAGTGCACTTGAAACAAAGTTCACTTTTCTTTTTTGCCCCTTCCTTGAGCTAAACTAACCCACACCCTCCCCTTCCAGAGATACATACTTACCTCTATCTGATGACCATGACTCCACTGTTTGTTTACATCAAGTGCTGAGAGTCTTCACTGTCTTGGGGGTGTGACTGGGCATTACATCCCCATAGACTTCTTTGGGATGGTCTTCAGGCTCAGGACTCATCCCCAAAAACTTCTATGGAAATGTCTCCAGCCTTGGGACACATTGGCTCATCTCAATTTATCTCCAGCCCCAAGACACAGCCTTATAAAAGTCTATGGGGCTTTAAGATTTAAAAGTCTCAACATCCCTGCAACCCACACAAAACCTAAGGACAAGTTATTTTTGGAAGGCATCTGCAACGGTCATAGAACTGACCTATGTTTCATTGTCGTGTCTCCTAGGTGTGGTTCCAGAATCGAAGGGCAAAGTGGAGGAAAAGAGAGAGGTTCGGGCAAATGCAACAAGTACGGACTCACTTCTCTTCTGCCTACGAGCTGCCACTACTGACCCGAGCTGAAAACTATGCCCAGGTAATTCATGATTCCTCCTATTTTGCTGAGCAATGTACATGAAAACAACACAACCAACAGAGGTAATAACCACCTATTATTATTATTATACAGTATTTATAAAGCGCCAATAGTTCGCTCAGCGCTGTACATTACAAAGGGGGACAGAACATGTGACAGAACAATACCAATACAATGCAAAACATGAGCGGATTGAGGGCCCTGCTCTTTCGAGCTTACAATCTAGGAGGGAGGGGATGGTGGCACAGGAGGAGATAGCTGTGGGGGATGGAGTGGTAGGAAGAGTGGAGGAGGTCGGTCAAGTTAGCAGGGGTGGGGTAGGCTTCCCTGAAGACATGGGTTTTCAGGGTGCGCCTAAAGGAGAGGAGAGTAGGTGATAATCTGATGGGTTGGGGCAGGGAGTTCCAGAGGATGGGTGACACCCTGGAGAAGTCCTGGAGGTGGGCATGGGAGGAGGAGACCAGGGAACTAGAGATAAGGAGGGTCTTGTGAGGAGCGAGTGTGCGTGTTGGGTGGTACTTGGATATTAGGTCAGTGATGTAGTTCGGGGCAGTATGGTGGACAGCTTTGTACGTCAGTGTTAGGATTTTGAATTTGATCCGTTGCGCAATCGGAAGCCAGTGGAGGGATTGGCAGAGGGGGGTGGCGGAGATGGAGCGGTTGGAAAGGTGAAGGAGTCTGGCAGCCGTATTCAGGATCAACTGAAGCGGGGATAGCCAGCGGCGAGGCAGGCCAGTGAGGAGGGAGTTGCAGTAGTTGAGTCGTGATATGATGAGGGAGTGGATGAGCTGTTTAGTGGTTTCTGGAGTTTCTCAGCCAGGGTTCCTCCACAGGTTGATAGGGGGTTCCTTGAGCAATGAGCAATTTCTGCCTCTCAGATAAGTTCCCACTGACACCATTCATCTTTTCAGCTATATGTAAGGAAGTAATTCTTCCCAATGTCCAAGTGTAAGGAGCATTCTTCCTACTTACCATCACACTAATGTATCATGAGTTGTAGATATAGTCATTTTACAAGGGGTTCCCTGAGACCAGAAAGTTATTTCAAGGTTTCTTCTGTGTTGAAAAGGTAGAGAAAAGCTGACCTAGATAGTAAGACAAAGGGGTAACTTCCAATCAGCACTTACAGTGAGGAACAGAAGTATTTGAACACCCTGCGATTTTGCAAGTTCTCCCACTTAGAAATCATGGAGGGGTCTGAAATTCACATTGTAGGTGCATTCCCACTCTGAGAGATAGAATTTAAAAACAATTTCAGGAAATCACATTGTATGATTTTTTAAAGGATTTTTTTTTTTGTCTTGCACTGCTGAACATAAGTATTTGAACACCTAAGAAAGAGCAAGAATTCTGCCTCTTAAAGACCTGTTACTGTGCCTTTACAAAGTCCACCTCTACTCCACTCATTAATCTAACTTAGTAGCACCTGTCTGAGCTCTTTAAAGACACCTGTCCACCCCACAGTCAGTCAGACGCCAACTACTACCATGGGCAAGACCATAGAGCTGTCAAAAGACACCAGAGACAAAATTGTGGACCTCTACAAGGCTGGAATCTGTTCCTCTAGGTCTGTTCCTCACTGTAGTTACTAAGCCAGGCATAGAAGCAACATGCAACCACCTCCCATGTTGTAACCAGCTCCTGTCTCCTGAACCAGGTATGAAGGCAGCATGTATCCAACAGTCATCTTTTTACGTAAAGAGCAGCACAGAGTCAATAGCTATTTACTGCGCAAGATATAGAGGATGAACATAACCAACACATATCTACTGAGCCAAATATAAAGGCACCTATTTTCTAAACCTGATCTAGAAGCAACATGCACCCAACAGATATTAACTGAATTAAACAAATAGGCTGGATGTAACATTTAAATTATAAAGTCGATACCAAAGTATAATGTATTAAATATTTTATTAGGGATCTATATAGAGAGGCATTATGTAACCAGCACCTATCTACTGAGCTAGGTAGGGATGCAACAAGAAATCAGCACCCATCTACTGGACAACATAGAGAAGCAGCTTGCAGCTAGAACTAATGTACTGATCCAGATACAGGGACAGCATGTAATCAGTATGTATCTACTGAGCCAGATACAGAGGCAACATACCAGATAGAGAGTCAGCAGCCATTCCCAGACAAGATCATCCAGTGCCCATGTCAAAGATGCCAAATAGCGCTCAATCCCCCCCCCATTCATGATGTGCAAGGTTAGGGGATCCTACACCCAACAGTCAATCACTTGTCAAAATTACTGCCGCTGTCACTTCCCCTGTCAGTCTTTTACTGAAGGAAGGTGCCCCCATCCCTACAGTAAATCATTGCACCCAGGGAAGCCGCCCCTCTTGCCCACCCCTTGTCCCAGCCCTGGTAAGCAGGTAACCAGATAGAGATGCAGAGAGTAACTGCATCCATATACTGGGTCATATCTAGAGGCAGATTTTACCCAGCACTTGTCTGGTGAGCCAGATTGATAGGTACCATGTATCAGGACCTATTCAACTGAGCCAGATACACAGACAGCGTGTACCCTGCATCTGTCTACTGAGCCGGATAAATAAGCAAATTGCCAGATAGAGAGTCAGCATCCAACCAGAACCACTCTACTGAGTTGGATACAAAGACAGCCGGTATCCTGGACCTATCTAGTGAGCCACGTAGGGGTGCTACAGAAAGTCGCACCTATCCACTGTGCCACCTAGAGAGGCAACTTGTAACCAGGACCTATCTACTAAGCCAGATAGAGAGTCAGCATGCAACCAGAACCACTCTACTGAGTTGGATACAAAGACAGCCGGTATCCTGGACCTGTTTAGTGAGCCACGTAGGGGTGCTACAAGAAAGTCGCACCTATCCACTGTGCCACCTTAAGAGGCAACTTGTAACCAGGACCTATCTACTAAGCCAGATAGAGAGTCAGCATGCAACCAGAACCACTCTACTGAGTTGGATACAAAGACAGCCGGTATCCTGGACCTGTCTAGTGAGCCACGTAGGGGTGCTACAAGCAAGTCGCACCTATCCACTGTGCCACCTAGAGAGGCAACTTGTAACCAGGACCTATCTACTAAGCCAGATAGAGAGTCAGCATGCAACCAGAACCACTCTACTGAGTTGGATACAAAGACAGCCGGTATCCTGGACCTGTTTAGTGAGCCACATAAGGGTGCTACAAGAAAGTCGCACCTATCCACTGTGCCACCTAGAGAGGCAAATTGTAACCAGGACCTATCTACTAAGCCAGATAGAGAGTCAGCAGGTAGCCAGGGCTTATCTAATGAGCCTATTAGAGATACAACAAGTAACTGGCATCCATCTCCTGGGTCAGATATAGAGGTAGCAAATAAGCAGCACCCATCTGTTGAGCAGATTGATAAGCTCACTCCCATCACGCTGTAAAATAGGAAAGTTCATGCAAAACCCTAGGAAATACCACAAAGTCTAACTTGGCACAAGACATGCGACCTACGCCAAAACTTCAGTCACGTGATTATAGGTGGATCTAAAAATAAATATTATATTGATATAATGCATGAAAAAGCTGCAAATAAATCACAAATGACTGTATGTAACAGATGGGTCCATCAGGAAATGAATTATGTTTTAAATCATGGAACGTCTACTTTGATGTAGGTGTGCTTTAAGAAGGGCTGGCACATTGAGAGCGGTTGATGAGTCAGGATGACATTTCCCCAACTCCTGACATCCCAACCATTTCTTCATTTCATCACCAGGCAGTCAGAGAGGAGTCAGGGGAGAAGAATGAGCTGGAACAGCAGGAGGGAGAGGTCAGATGTTTGATGAGCAGGAGAGCTCTGTTCTTCCATCCACATCTGGAGCCTGGTCCTCCTGCATTCCGCACACTCCCCTCCACTCCCTCCTCCGGGATGGGGGGCCATCTGTGAAATATGAACCCCGGACAGGGGAGATGGACGGGGAGATGTCACCGAGTCCCCCCATCAATGGTGGGCACAGAGCTCTTCCAGAGAGGATCACATACACTCATCACTTTATTCATCTCATTTGTCTATCTATTAATAACACATTTGTCTTTTAGTTCTATCTATCTATCTATCTATCTATTCTATATTATCTATCTATATCTAATATCTATCTATTATCTATCTATATATCTATCTATCTATTATCTATCTATCTATCTATCTATCTATCTATCTATCTATCTATCTATCTATCTATCTATCTATCTATCTATATTATCTATCTATCTATCTATCTATCTATCTATCTATCTATCTATCTATCTATCTATCTATCTCTGTCATAACAGACCCATCTGTACTATCTATTTTAATAATAGATCTGCCTGCAATCTATATCTACACTATATTGCCAAAAGTATTCGGCCAGACCTCCAATTTATGTGATTCAGGTGTTCCAATCCCCTCCATGGACACAGGTGTATACAATCAAGCCCCTAGGCATGCAGACTGCTTCTACAAACATTTGTGAAAGAATGGGTCGCTCTCAGGAGCTCAGTGACTCCAAGCGTGGTCCCGTGATAGGTTGTCACCTGTGCAATAAGTCCATCCGTGACATTTCCTGGCTACTAAATATTCCACGCTCAACTGTTAGTGGGATTATAACAAAGTGGAAGCAACTGGGAACAACAGCCACTCAGCCACCAAGTGGTAGGCCACGTCACATGACAGAGCGGGGTCAGCGCATGCTGAAGCGCACAGTGCGCAGAAGTTGCCAACTGTCTGCAGATTCAATAGCTAAAGACCTCCAAACTTCATGTGGCCTTCAGATGAGCCCAACAACAGTGTGTAGAGAGCTTCATGGAATGGGTTTCCATGGCCGAGCAGCTGCATCCAAGCCTTACATCACCAAGTGCAATGCAAAGTGTCGGATGCCATGGTGTAAAGCACGCCACCACTGGACTCTAGAGCAGAGGAGACGTGTTCTCTGGGGTGACCAATCACGCTTCTCTGTCTGACAATCTGATGGACGTGTCTGGGTTTGGCAGTTGCCAG